TCCTCTCCAGCCGCTCATGCACGGATGGGAAGAACTGATATAGGTGGCGGCCCTTAATAGAAGATCTACACTGCCATTCGGTTATAATCTCGCCCCAAACGTCCGTCACTGGCTTAAACAATCTATCAATTTTATTTCTATCACGTTGTGCTAGAAAGCTTGCTGAAAAATTAGACCTCGCATTGTAGTACATAGCAGCACGTCGCTGCACCTCAAGATCTACCGGAAGGACGCCTGCGAGCACAGGTAGGGACTCAGTGCTAACCGTCCTATAGGCCTTACACAGGAAAATCAAGGCTAGACGCTGGCCTTGGAGAAGTTTTCGTCGTACCGCGCCTATTGTGGCCCTATCATCCCAGACAGGTGCCCCGTAGTACACGCATCCTAGGTAGGTTGCTCCGTATATGATCCTAAGCGTAAGAAAAGAGAGACCCCAGGTGGCTTTGGAAATTCGTGTCAGCGCATAGAAGTTATTTTTGGCTTTCTGACTAATAGCCTTAATATGTTCAATGAAAGAAAAGTTTTTTTCCAATACTAGACCGAGGTAACAAACAGACTCCTTTCGTTTTACGGAAACATTGTTAAATTTAATAGACGGCCATGACTTTAGATTTCCTTTAAGCAATAGCTGGTAAATTTTATGGGGTGCAAAAGTCAAGCGATTTCGTTCGCCCCATCGCGAGATCCTACTGAGACAGTCTTTAGCCAAATACTCCAGTCCGGCGCGGGTATTTGATTGTACTAGCAAAAGGCCATCATCCGCATATCCAGGCTATATGGGCTACGAAATACTTGAGACTTTATACATTTACAGCGTTGCAGTTGGGTTTTTAACCTAAAAATCCGGGGATCCCTTTTCTTTTAAACCACTGAAGCTATTTGAGTGAAATGTGGTTTACAATAGTCTGAGACCTGAGAACAGACGTTATTGTTATTATCATTTCAGCCATGATCATTCCACGAGAGGGTAAAGAAAGACGTAACATACATACTGAATCGATTCCGATGAATTCTGCCAGAAGTCATTATTGTATGCAGACGAAGCCACATGTAACAGCTAGTATAATGATATAATATTTAATTCTGACCAAAGAATCCATTAAGTCAAAGTCAACCTTATAACAAATTGTTATAAAATAGGAGAGCTGTAATGCTCTCCTAGCATTCTCATCCTTAGTTTCGTAATTTTCAGTGATATTAGTTTTATTTGGAATAGGAGTTTTTAGGAGGTGAACAAGCAAACAGATTGGACCTGATGGTGAGCAAACAAATTGATTTATTGCTTTAGAGACACAGGGGATTATCAAACCCAGAGTTAAATAAGACTATCGGGTATTCTACAGAAGTTAGAATTTGGAATACTTGGAGCAATCTGGGAATCACGCCTGGCAAACATGGTTGTAAATTTACCTGACAAATGAGACTAATTTTATATATGTAGGTATACATTTGAATTAATATATTATTACTTACCCAGTATAGAGGGTGAGAGTATTGAGGCAAGTCCATTAGTAAGATCATATATGTACAGCTCCACTGTAGTGCCCTGCTCAGCCATGGTGTTTTTTTCCGGCTCTTCTAAAGCATGAAATAACCATCCAGTTACTATTCTCTCAATAATCTATAAGTAAACTTTTAGTAACTTTATAAAACAATATTGCCACTAGAATTTTTTCCTGCATTATGGGTGTGTTAATAAACAAACAATGGGAACAAAACCCACTACACATTGTGCAGCATCCAGTTGCTGTCGCTCCACCTGTGCAGTCAACACCACAACTTTGTTCACTACTTCTTTCATTTTCAATTTATGCTACACATATTAAATATTTTATCTATTTCAATCACATCTGCTGCCCAAATATGTATTAAATTTAACGAAATTAAGAACAAAATACTGGATATCTTGGATAGCATGCTAGTGCTACTAGCTTAAAAGTAAATAGAAACTTTAGTTATACAAATTTAATATGAGAGTATACTAAAAAAACTTTTATTATAAATAAGCAGAGCAATGAGATGATCCTAAACTAAACCATATATAACGTACTTTAATACATACATATGTAATATTTGTCACAAATTAAATGATAGTCATCTAAATATTGCCGCACAACTTGCACTGCAAAAAGTGCAATAACTACTTTCTCTGGCAAGAAAACGAATCGTGCGTTCGACCGCTCACGACTTACAGGAACTTATGCTACGATCAACTACGACTAACCTACACCAGAAATATCATTTATAAATAACACACCGCCAACACAATCATCTAACACGACATTCCAACATAAATCGTCTACAGGTAGGTACACATTCCCGCAGCCGCAGATATAGCGTAAACAGTAAACGACTTTTATTTTAAATAAATACCTACTTGATTTTCTTGTAGGTATTACTTATTTCCCAAGGTGATTTGTAAATACCTATTAATATTATCGACGTAACCAATACCTCACCAGTCTACATGTTAATTTTAGGTACGCATTTGAATTGTGTACCTACCTGTTCAGATTGTTGGATGAAGAAAATGTATTTATGGTTCCTTAAACTGACTACTCAATTTCAATATAAAGTCACACACTCAACCCCCAATGGAAACGAAGTGGACTGATGAAATTACTTACCTACTTCAACCTTTTTTAGATAACATTTTAATTTGAAAATGAATCATTAGCCATTGCTGGTTCACGTTATCATGTCCAATCATGTCATGTCACGATGACTTATCTCAGTCTGCCCAAAAATAAATAAACCAATACAAACCACTTCGTAAACAATCTGACGACTGACATTTCTGACATTTCATTATTTTCATTACTCACAGACATACAAGTTTAGCTATGCAAACCCAACATTACCTACCTACCTACTTGCACAGTAGAAATAAACGAACTACTTGTGAAGCCAAAAACACACATGCGCAATTCATAGCTTAAAAAATAGCTGCTTTTTTTAGCTTATAAAATAGCTAAAGCATAGCTGAATAAATATCAATTTTTACTATAATTTTTATGTGTGTGTTACCAGAAATGTATGAGAATCCTTGTACAGCGGGATAGTAGCTTTAAGCATGCTACAATCCTACTGTACAGGACTACCTGATCCTAATGACTACAAGCTAATGTTATCCTACATTATGCTAGCTAATCTAATACTTATAATATCCTATCCTAGCTTTGCCTAGCGTATAATGCGTATAGGCTTGGTGCTCTGTGGTATACTGTGATACCTACCATCACTTCTACCACGGAATATAGAATACAATGGAAGTAGCTTGAAACAATATTTCTGCCAGAACCGGTGTCGCCAAACTAATACATTTATAATTTACTCATAAATCGGAAGTTACGATTGGATAGAAAAAAAATGGGCGTAAACGAAATGCAAAAAGAATATCATACGATATGCAACTTTAAAATCATTGCACTATAAATCAAAATAAAAAAGTATATTTTGGACTACCAAGTACCGCCATTCGTTCAAAGATGTGAAAAGTGGTACTTGGTTTGAACTTTAAAGTCGTAAGAATAAAGGTGATATTTCAATGGCTTATCACTGGCTCGAATGCGGGTCTCTACTCAGATAGTGATGTAGCCTAATTCGATAAAAATAATATGAAAATGTGTTTTAAAAATAATATAAAAAAATATTGACTGCGATAGTGTGACAGTATTAAAATAATAAAATTAAAATGTCGTTGCAATAACTTTTTAAACGTAACAAAAACGGGTAAGTATTTATTTACATGTAAATCAAAAACCATTTTGTTCGTATTTTTTATTAGTTTCTTTTTTCAAAAAATCATTTTTTTTATTTCACATAGGCAATATAAGTAACTACTATTCCATAAATGACAATGACCAAATTTGTATGGAGCATGGTGCCTTTTCATTTTTTCGCGGCAGTTGATCGGATATGGAAAAACTGGTGCAGAATAACATTACAAACAAAAAAATATATGGAGTCTTATATCAAAAACACAGTCCAAACCGAGTTAAATCAGTTCAAAGATGTGAAAATCGTGCTGTATTATACCTGTCATTTTGTTGATGGTGACCGTACACAATGCATATTTCTTCATTTACTTGTCAGAAATATTTTGTAATAAATGATTATAAACGATTTCAAGGAATGTAATAAAGCTTTTTGTAGACTATTTTATTATTATTATTTTTTTGTTTTTTTTTGGCCTTATGGCCACGGAACCAGAACAGAGTGAACCATTAACTGGCCACAGCTCAAGTAAAAAAAAAATATTTCGCTTGATTGGCTAGCGTATTCACTTTATATGTATACGGTTTATGGCCTATGACAGATTTTCATGATCAATTTCCTCTCAGTCGAAAATCCGCAAAATACTTTCATGAAACCCTATCATGAAATGCTATGTTTGTCAGCTGCGGCGTCGGTAGCGGATTTAATAGCGCTGATCTCTTTAAAAGTCGACGGTTTTCTTTCTTCAAAAGATTATAACTATTAAGTAGATGAGTGGCCCACCAGGAGTCAATGGCAAAAAAAAATATACTTTATTAGATGTTTGGACGGCTACCACTACTCAACCCACCACTGGTACCACTGCTGACATTCATGAAGCTTCATGACGCAACTCCTAGAAGCATCCGACAAGTTATCGACTGAGAGAAAATATGTAATAAAATTAGTGCCGTGCAATATGAATATACTGTGGTGTGATGTGATTTTCCTGTGCCCGACATACAGTGGCGCGCAATTTGAGGTTAGAAATTGTGACAAAACTATGAATAATTTGAATAAAAAACCGAAGTAAAATGTTTGACTCCAGCTCCTTTCAACGCTCATAACTCATAGACAATTTCGTTTGTAATGTCATTCTATTAAATATTTTCCATAAATCATCGACTGCCGCCAGAAAAAAGAAAGGCACCAATTTTAATCAATGCCCTTTTTACAAACTTTATAATTATGGATAATGTGATAAATGAGAGGGATGGCGATAAGGATGAAGGTGCTGATCTGGTCTGTGAAGTGAAGGTCGCTTCCAATCACGTCGGGGTCACCACTAAAATAATAATAAAAAAATAATCTAAATAAATGTTACATTACACTTGCATCGATATCAATCGATAAATTTAATATGTGATTTGACTACATCACTATTTGAGTAGCGTAGAACTGGCGAGAATGTTTTATTGAATGTAATAAATCCAAAATAAACTTTATCTTGAAGGCGTAAGGTTGATTTTGACTAACCGTTTTAGTAAATAATATTATTTTAATAACCGTTTTTGTAAATTGAAATAAAATAAGATTTCTACAAGAAAACAATGAAAATTGTACTTACCGATGATACGAAATACCTCCATTTTTACGATTTTTAGGCTGCTATCATTTTTACACCCCAAAACGGAACAAAACGGCATAGTTGAGGAAATATGTATTTGTCACGAGACTAGCAACTCGACGCGATGTTCGAACGAGACTGAACTCGAATTTGCCTCGAGTAAGCAGTACACTGCTTAGTTGTTGCACGCGTGCCACGCCTACTTGCTACTTCCATTGTATTCTATATTCCGTGACTTCTACGCACCTACTACTAGGCCCTTAACCTAAGGCACGTACTATCGTGGTACACTGTGGTATGCTGTGATACAGACCTCCGCTTCGTACGCGCCTAATGCCCTAGCCCTACATTCCCTAGACCCTAGCCCTACTATACGCGCAGGAGAAGGAACGGGGTGGTTTTTAGTCAGTAAGAGTCTGACATTAAGGCGGGAGCAGTCATTCGATGATTTTCACCCTTTAACAAAAAAAACCTACTATACCTATTAATATATACTTTTTTTTCTAATTATTATTTATCAAGGACAACAAACAGCAGTATATTAAATATAACACGGGTGAGTAAAATAACAGATTTAACAAATACACTCCTCACGACGTTGCCACGGATTACCATAAATCTACTTAGCAAACACAATGGGGGAAACTTGAAGCTACAAAGTATACAAACATAGGATACATTTAAATTACAGAATTATTTTTTTACCTGTACCTACCTATTATATATTTTTACCTACCTATATATTATATTTTTTTGTGCACTATATGAATGTGAAACACAAATAACATGTAAAAAAAAATTAAAATTAAAAAGTCTGGAGTAATTACATTAAGGATGAGAGTATTAATAGTGGTACTTATATAGATAGGTGTTGGATATCTGCCACCTGAGACCTGTGATGGCAGACGGAATGTGGGTAGGAATGGGGTATGGTGGTGAGGGTTTGCTCACTGCCTGTCGAGCAGACTCACACGACAGATCGGTCGATGGCTAAAGGTGTCTTGGCCACAGTGAGAGGAGGAGCTTCCTCCACCGAGTGGTGGAGGAAGGGTAGTGAGTCAAAGTCGAAATCAACTAGTGACTACTTTATTTCTTATTCTAAATGATCTTATATACTAAACTTATCCTATGTACACACATACCACACTATGATTGTGTGCTATGCGTGTAATGTACCATCTCAGCGCTATATCCTTACGTGAGTACGTGATGTTTTTCTTAGTTGTGAACTCCGGAATTAATATGTTTTTTCAGTACTTTATCACGTAGGATTGTTTCGCTGACATGGCATGTTCATGTGTGAATAGGGCTCAAACCGTATTACATGGGGCTCATAACATATTTTTGCTAATGTCTGGTCTGCTTCTCCTTATAAGTCAGTGGATTTCAATGGTTGTCATACAAGAAGAAAATCACAATGTTACGTGAATATCTCCCTAACTTATAAATGAATAAAGACCCAGTGGTCTTTATTCTCTTAGTCTTAGTAGAGCCTCTATTCTCTGTCTACGATTTAGACGTAGTTGTTTTCGATAGTTTTATTTTAAAAAGAAATTAGAAATATTGATATTTTTTTACTATTTCATAAATTACATCCCTATTTCTATCCACCATTACAAAATACTGACGGACTCGAATATTTGTTTCGTAGACATTGTAAGTTCATTTATTTACACTTCTTGAATACAATGGCGGACTTAATGCCTAGTGGCATTCTAACATTTAGTTCTTTCGTTATTGATATCACCAAATTTATGTCGATTGGTAGCATAAAATAATTGGTGGTAAGATTGGTCGGCACGGCACGGCACGATACACGCCCCACGCCCCCACGCCACACCGCTCGGTAATGTATTCCTGCCTTTATAGTATTTCTGGTCACACATAAAATGTCATTATGACGTTTCAAGCTCATCTGCTCACCAAAGAGACGGAACTTTGTTATGTCATGGTGTCATGTCAGTGAATTGTTGGTGTTTTGCGACTATTTTACTTACTCATCATATCAAACCAAGATAACATGTCAGGATCCAAGAAAATGGTACATAAATCTTATAAATTTATATTTCATACATACAAAAAGTTCTGTGAATGCTAATAGTAAGCAACTCAACACAAGAGCTGTTAATTCAAGTCAAAAAATTAAAGTTTCTGTTTATCTACTTGTCAATCTACTGAAATTCAAATGTTTCTACAAAAATCTGTTTTGGATTTTAGTCTTATTACATTAATAGGTTCTAAAGCAAACCTAAATTACAATGCTGAAAGGTTACGTTATAATGACTTTGCGTTTTTTATTGCGATGGTAGTGTTGGCATTCTTCGTAGCAAAATGTGCAATTGAATGTTTAAATCTATAGATACTACGGGTGCAGTCAGCAGAGGGTACTACGCGCGTAGAGATGTCCGACACGGATGTGACGGCACAGTTATTTGAACGTGTGTATGAGAGCCTCCACCTGAATACATTCGCATTTG